GGGCTCATGATCTATTGCAGTAATGGAATACCCAGATTAACATTCCTCCAGTATCAAATATGAATCATACACAAGCTCTTGGTGGTAGAAAATGTATTGTAGAAAAAAATATTGAAAGGCACTACGGAAAACAGATACTAACCATTCAGGCTGTACATAAACAGAGGAACCAAAAGCCCTACCCTTAAAATGGCTAACAGGGTAGGGCAATGGCCTATGATCTCTGAGAAGCTAGAGGCTTTAGACAAGCTGGTTCAGGAACAGTTAGATGCTGAACATATTGAAGAATCTACCAGTCCATAGAATTCCTCTGTAATTGTTATCAAAAAGAAAAACTGGTAAATAGAGAATGCTCATGGGCCAGACAACCATCAATAAAGTAATTCAGCCTATAGACTCTCTACAGCCTGGGATGCTATTGCCTTCTCTGATACCTAAAGATGGCCTATTATAGTCATTAATTTAAAAAATTGCTTTTTCGCTATACCCTTACAAGAAAGGGAAAATTTTGCCTTCACAGTGCCTACCAATAACAATTCTCAACTAGTTAGAAGATATCAATGGAAGGTTTTGCCACAAGGAATGTTACATAGTCCTACTCTGTGCCAGTATTTTGGGCAAAAACTTTTGGAAGTAATTCACAATTTCCACAATCCATCATTCATATATATATATATATATATATATATCATTAGATCCCATACGGGTCTGCCAGGTCCTCTAGCACTAGGCAATGATGAGATTGATCATTTATTAATAGGAGGCATGCTAGAAGCCTCAGAATTTCATAAGAAACACCATGTGAATAGCAAAGGTTTGAAGAAGAATTTTTGTATTACTTGGCAACAAGCCAAGGAAATAGTAAGAAACTGACTGACCTGATCATTCTATAATCAAACTCCATTACCAGCATGCAGTAATCCCAAAGGTATACATAGAAATGAAATTTAGCAAATTGATGTGTTTCACTTTCCAGAATTTGGCAATTTAAAATAAGTGCACAATATAATAGACACATTTTCGGGGTTTCAATGGGCCACTGCTCTTAGCTCTGAAAAGGCTAATTCTGTTATCACACACCTCTTATAGGTGATGGCCGTTATAGGTATACCTGCATAAATAAAAACTGACAATGCTCCAGCATATGTTTCCAGCAAATTGGAATAGTTTTTCAAATATTATAGCATAAATCATATAACTGGTATACCATACAATCCCACAGGACAAGCAGTGGTTGCAAGATCTAACCACACTTTAAAAGAAATACTCCATAAACAGGTAGGGGAACAAAGACCCCCAAACACAGATTACATAATGCTCTATTAACATTAAACTTTCTTGATGCTAATAAGAAAGGACAAGCAGCTGCTGAAAGACACCGGAGTACAGAAAAAACTTTAGCCAGTGTATTTCAAGAATGTAATGACCTCAGTTTGGAAACCAGGATATGTATTAACGTTGCAGAAGGGGTTTCACCTTTGTTTCTGAAGGAGAAGAAAAGCTTTGGATTCCATCAAAATTGATCAGGAGAAATCTCGGGAGGAGGAAAGATGACAGCTCATCCACAAACTCATATCCCGAGAGGTATATGGAGACCTCACAAAGGAAAGGGAAGTGTTTTGTTCTTGTCTTAACAGGATAACCCATCTCCAAAAGGCAGGACGACACTGAACGTGTAGACACCTAAAGAAGAGAGGATGGCTAGCCAAAAGAACCATGAAACAAAGAAGAATCTGATATTTGGTATCAATGTTTAATTCTCTTAACTTATTATAGTCATATAAAATCTATTTCTCTTTATTTCCTAATACTCTTTTTGTCCCAATTCACTTAAACCAATGCTGACTTTGGAGTTGGATATGACTCTCCTCCTTAAATTCAAGCATGTTGTTAAAATAAAATTTCAGAGTTTCTATATCAAGAAGCCAATTGATGTAAGATAGAAGAAAACAAAAATCTAGGAACTGTCATCTGTTTATACTCGGTTCTTCTCTGAAAGTCTAATTTCCCTCACATACATTTACTGTCTTCCCATTTGTTACATAGAACATACGTGGGATAAAAGAGCTGAGGGGAAGGAGATGTGCTCTCTTTGGTGGAGCCTCAGAGAGCAACGGGTGGACCTTTGGTTCTCAGCTTTCTTGGCTTCTCATGTAAGTGACTTCTCCCTCAATAAAACATCATATGATATGCATACCTTGGGTAGCTTAATATTTCCTCGATACCTACTATTCTGATAAATGGATATATCAATAAAATTACTCCTAATGAATTATTGCTATACTTGTAGAGTAGCACGTCACCCAGCCCTCATCATACAGACCCACAACTGGTCAACATGCAGAGAATGACAGACTGTGAAATTCCTAGCCCTAAATGGACTACCTGTATCTTATCCTTCCTTCCAAGGCTCAGAGAGCCATGTGAAGATGGGACAGAAATATAAGAAGAGCCAGAGGTAGTGAATGAGTTCAAGGAAACGGTTTTCTGGACACAACAGGACAGATGCACATATTAACTCACAGAGCTTGTGATGACATGCACAAGACCTGCACAAACTCAATCCACACTAAATCCTGGGATGGAGGAGGGAATGTCACAAAATCTCATCCCTAGCTGATGAGCTATTGGCATTGTGTTGGTGTCAGGAAAAGGAGAATCCATTTTCTTTCATGATACCTGATATATTGACCAGACTCCAGAGCAAGACCCATGCCCAGAGCTGGTTGGCCAGCATAAACTGGCTTGATATTTTTGTTTGTTTGTTTTTTTGAGGAAGAGTGGGGAGTCCTGGGAGAAAAAGGAAGAATGCAGGAGGGAACAAGTCAGAATATATAAAGTTGGGTGGACAGGGAGATGAAGTAGACAAATGAATGTGATCAAAGCACATTGCATGAGATTCTCAGAGGGAAAAATATCTAAAACATTAATAGCAATATACCAAGTTCATATAAAATTATATATTCGTAAAAGTACTAAAATTATAGACAAAATATAAAAATGGTATGGTAGTTAACACTAGTAGGTGTTTCTGTCTTTTGTAAACTTTACAGAGTAAAGAAAAATGACAGACCTCAGTTGCCTGATGAACAAATAATTTCAAGGGATTAGTGAAGAAACTGAGTGCAAAGAAGCCAGTGTGAGGTGGCTATCAATGTGTTTACAGTGTGGATCATTACTTTCTAGGACTATCACCCTATTGTGCCATAAACTCATGAAGGTATACAGTTTATTTACATAGAATATAAAAACTGTGATAAAATATAGTATTTTATAAATATAGGTATAAAAGAAACTGCAAGTTCTTTTCTTCACTCAAGTTTTTTTTTCCTGTGCTCATTCCAGTTTGACTTGGCCTCTCTGAAAAAGTTCCCTCCCAGAACTAACAAACAAGGACAAAGAAATGTAGCTGTCCACCTGACTGACACTGCATGCTTAATGAGTGGTGGCCCGGATAAGGGAGCCTGGAGGGAAGAACAGACCACACAAAGCCCTCCTTGGACCAAGAGACACTTAACTTAAATCTGAACATGTCAATGTTGGTTTAAAATGGAGGGGAAGGAGGAAAAGGCTGGGGTTCACAAGTATAAAAATCCTGGGCCAGGGTTGGCTCATTGGTAAAGAGCACACTCTCCTGTAGATGAGCTGGCTTGGTTCTCATCCCCCATACTGGGTGACACACAGCTACCTGTTATTCCAGTTTCAGGGGGGAGCCAATGTCTCTGGATTCTATGGGCAGCTGTACTCATGTGCACACAAGCACGCAATTAAAAATAAATCATAAAAATCAGGGCCAATGAGATGGTTCAGCAGATGAAGGCGTCTGCTGCCGAGCTGGGTGACCTGAGCCAAACACAACCCCATGTGACAGAAGGAGAAAAATCAACTCTTTCAAGCTGTCCTCTGCCTCCACACAGGCTGTGGCTCCTCCCAACATACATGAAGATTAACAGTTTCTTTAAAATCCAGCTTTTAAAGTGTATCTTTGGAGAATTCTGTCTTCAGTGATTCTATCGCTTACAACGTCTATCCAGACTGGCTAAGGTCTGGAGTAGCCAGGTTTTCCCAGGGCTCAGAAAGACAAAGAAAGGATTGGCTCTAACAGAGAACTTGTTGGAAGGGTTGGACAGAGAAGAGTCTGAAGCAGAATACATAGGAGAATCACACAACTGGGAGAGAATTCAGGGAATATATGCATCTGGAGGCAGTAAAAGCAATTAACAGGGAGCAGACAAGAAATGAGGGTTTGGGTCCACTTATAGTGCTTCCTGAATATGGCTGTAGAAATCAAAACTTTCAGAGGAGACATTTCTTAGAGAATTTTATATATGTACCCACTTCTCCCATAGTCCACTACAAATATTCACAATTCCAGTATTTTCTCCTTTCAGTAGGTTCCCAGGATGAAGTGAAATCATCTGATACTCTCTGCCTGTCCAAACTTTCCTCTGAGAAGTATCTACAGTGATCCAGAGATATACAGCATAAGTTCCATTCCCACATCTATTCAAGTGCAACCCAGAGAGCACTGCATGGTAGGCCTTTGCCAGATGTCTGTGTCTCTGAGAGCTGCATTGACATCTGGTCCAGCATAGAAGCACTGTCAGACCGGGCTGGCCCCTTCTGTGCTTCCCTATCCACAGCACCTCGTAGTGAGTCCTGTCTGTCCTAGAACTCACTCTATAGACCAGGTTTCACCTGCCTCTGCCTACTAAGAGCCGGGACTAAAGGCACACACATCATCCTGTCTTTAGATTATGGTATACTTAGCATGCTATACTAACATTCCATACTTACTATACTATACTATACTAACATACCATACTTGCTATACTACACTAACACGACATACTTACTATACTGCACTAACATGCTATACTTGCTATACTATACTAACATGCCATATTTGCTATATTATACTAACATACCATACTTACTATACTATACCAACATGCTATACTTGCTATACTTACTATATTGTACTAATATGCTTTACTTACTCTCTTCTTGACTTGAGGTTATTATTTTCATTTTACGTCCTTCAACTGCATTACTGTTGGCTCCTTGTGTGTTGTTTTACTATACCAAAACATGTGAGTAACCTCTGTGAAATGAAACAAAAGTGACCATTAATAGCAGTCATTTTAATAAAGTCTATATGTCCTGTACAAACATTCTGAGACTAGAGGCAGCCCAACTGCATCCCATGTCCGTTTCTTTGAGCAGCAGGGAGGAGGACTGTACTTATATTGACAGTCCACTTGAGATACTGGGTTGGGTACACCTAACACAGCATCTGTTTAAAGAAATTTTGCAGTATAGTGCGGTTTTCCCAGGGTCCACACCAGTAGTTCTTACTATTTGGCTTAAGGATCTCCTATTATTTGTTATAAATATTTTTAAATGAAAAAAAATCACTGTTTTCCCAAACAAACAAACAATTGAGTAAATTTACACTGTTTCACAATTGCTTTAGTGTCTAGCGTAATATCAGCTAAATTCTCATCTGCATTTTACCTGTCTAGATATCACACACACCATATCACTTCTGGAAAATTCTTTGTATATTCTTAAGAATTAGAGAGTAAAAAGGGCTAATAACTTCAAGTATTATCATAATACAACAATTGTACTGCAGAATTTCTCTCTCTCTCTTTTTTTTTTTTTTTTTTTTTTTTTTACAAGACAGAGTTTCTCTGTATTGTTTTGGAGGCTGTCGGTCCAGCCCGGCCTCGAACTCACAGAGATCCTCCTGCCTCTGCCTCCCGAGTGCTGGGATTAAAGGCATGCGCCACCACTGCCTGGCCAGAATCTCATTTCTGATCTCAAGTTTAAAGCACTGACTACAGCACCGGAAGATGGGGCAGTGGTAGCTGCACTGGGTCTGGGGTACAGGAAATGAATCAGTGTTACAACTGTTTGTGTGAGGCTTGAAGAACACTATTCTGAGCCTTATCAGAGGTTCTCTGTACCTTTACTCCTAAAATAAATTCTTAAAATATGGCGCATAATTATGGCCCAAAGCCCAAGTGGAAATGAAGAAAGGGGCCCAATTTTATACAAGAAAGAGCCTTATAAAAACAGGCACCATCCGCCGGGCGGTGGTGGCACACACCTTTAATCCCAGCACTCAGGAGGCAGAGGCAGGAGGATCTCTGTGAGTTCGAGGCCGGGCTGGACTGACAGCCTCCAAAACAATACAGAGAAACCCTGTCTCGTAAAACCAAAAACAACAACAACAACAAAAAACAGGCACCATCCAAATCAAGGGATTCTGTCACTGCTGTTACCCACAGGAGACTGCAATTAGCTGTTGGTTAAGAAAACTTCTAAAATATACACGCAAACTCTTTTTTAAAAGATGATTCTTGCTTGATAGTGGTTTGAAACTTGTTATATATAATTGATAAGGTACAAAACTGAAGTTTCTAAAACATACACAGTGAAGTTACCCATTTTATTCAGTCCTCCAATAGCCCATATTGCCCATCGACACCCAGCCCAGATCATTTCTTCAGATACCCTACACACATACATACCCCACACATGCATGTACACATCCCATATACATAAAATACTGTACATATACATATCCCTCCCCCACATACACGTTCCTAGATTCTTGCTGTTAGGTTGGCCCATGTGGGGTCATCCTTCAGTGTTCCCATCCCTGCCACGTACTAGATAGATGATGGATGGAGGCTCTGTCAATGTGGGTCCCTGAGTGACTGTGGGGCAGAGCCACTGAGGAGTCACAGGTGATGCCTGGTGAGCAAATCTTTGCTGAATTAAGCCACTGAGATTTTGAGATTACCTGTTAAGCCTACCCTGACTGGTGTAATTCCTCAGTATTCTCTGTGTCCTTTGAAAATGTTTTTAACCTCACATGACTTATTTCACAACAGAAAAGCTATAAAGGAAACTAACTTTGAAAAGCAATAATATGAATGTAAGAAAATGGGCTAAAATTGCTATTCAATTTTAGTTTAGGTATTCTAGTAGCTTTTAGGTTTTCTTCTGACTCGCTTTAAGTTCAATGATAGTTTCTCTTACAAACTGAGGACAGAGAGGTAAACACCAATGACAATTAGAAGCTGGAAAATAAAGACATGGCCAGTCTGTGGGACTGGTTTCACTGGTAAATTATAACAAAAGAGAAAAAGGCTTAAGATAAGGCATGGATTCTAATGGGAGGGAAAGTGGGAGGAATCTCTAAAGAGCTGGGAGAGGCGACCCATGATCAGAATATACTGTCTGAAGCATCTACTTTCAATAAAAGAAAAATAAACCCATAAAAAGGGGTTTAAGAGACACAAGTAGGTGCAGTGTGAAGATCTTATTGGATGAGTTAAAGCAAACATGTTCATAGTAAAGTTGGGTGCTAACTAGAAATTTTAGGATACTAAGGAGTTTTAATTTTTAATTTTGTTGTGATCTGTACTCTGTTCCCTTCAAATTCGATGCTGAAGTCTTAAATGACAGTACTCAGGGTGTGACCATATTTCTAGAGTCTTTACAGAGGAAATGGAAATTAAAGAGTTTTAAGTATATATTCTGAATTTTTTTTTTGAGACAGGGTTTCTCTGTATTGCTTTGTAGGTTGTCCTGGGACTCATTCTGTAGACCAGGCTGGCCTCAAACTCAGAGATCTGCCTGCCTCTGCCTCCTAAGTGTTCGGATTAAAAGTGTGAGCCACCAATGCCCAGCAATATCCTAAATATTTAAAAAAGAGTTTACTAGAATTTACCTCAAAATCTGGAGGAATGGGTATGGAGCAGGACTGACCATCTGTGAGGTTATTCTATGTGTCTGTGTCGACTTTAGAATGCTGAGGATATAGCTCAGTAGAGTACTTACCTAGCTTGGGTGAGGCCCTGGGTTTAATACCCATCAACAACCCAGCCCCCTCCCGAAACCCCATCAAAAATAAATAAAAAACTTGTCACCTAAAAACTTTTAAAAGCACTTTGTTCTAAAGCTTGTAAATCTTCTAGGATGACAATCTAGAGGCTGGAAAGCAACTGAATGGCTAGTACATGACAGAGGACCCCAGTGCCCAAAGTGTGGTACGACCTGGTCTAAGGAAACTGTTAGGAACAGACCCTTGGGCTTGGTGACTCGGAGCCGAAAGGTCCCTAGAGCCTTGCCAGTTACAGACTAGCCGGCTTCTGTCTTCTGGTTCTGCTGCTGCCTGCAGTTTCCTTGATGTCACCCAATCCTGACATGTGACTTTACTCACCCTTTAATACACTGCTCTCTCAGCTTCTTCCTGGTGGGACTTGGCACTCGCTGCCTGGCCTCCCAAGATTTCCTTTGGAATCTGGTGGAGCCTGTCCCTGTGGCATCTTACATGTCTGCAGAAGCAGCCTGACATGTATGACAGTGCTGTCTGTCACCAGCCTGACAGCCTTACTGGCATCTGAATGTCTTCACAGTGAGCCAGGCAAGGTACGTACTGGCCAGGACTTTGAGAACCTGGAGCTGTGTGTTTGGCTCACAAGGCTTATAGATAGACACAAGCCTCTGACCCTGACAACTCAGCCTATAAGCCACTAGCACTCAGCAATCAGAGCAGTAAGTCTCTGGCTTTGAGAGTCTAGAGCCATGTCCCAGGTGTCTGACTCCAGGAGCACAGTTCTAAGTGCTGATAAGTTTATGGCTTTGAAGTCCCATCTCGTACACTTCCCCCACTCAGCACCTTAGGCTGCGCTTGTGCTGTTCCCACCAGAGACAGCTCCTCTGCTGATTGACAACTACCTCCATCCAGTCTTTCACACTTAAGCTCCTGTACCATTTTGACAAAATAGCTAAATTTAAATTTTGTCCTGTTCTCTGTCCTGTAGCTTTTACACAGGTTTTTCAACACCTTCTGCATGTATGTGCATGTTGTATATGCTTCTGTGCACCTGGGTGTGGGTATGTTTGCCTGTGGGGGTGCACATGGAGGCCAGAGGTTGATGTCAGGGTGTCTTCCTTAACCATTTTTCCACTTTATTCTTTGAGACAGGGTTTTTCACTGAATCTGGAGCTCACTAGTAAGCCTCATGACCTGAGTTTGATCCTAAGGACCCATGTGGTGGAAGGAGAGAACCAATTCCTCTGTTGTCTGACCTCCTGGATACCATGGTGCATGTGTGTGTGCATACACACATGCATGCACACACACACAGATAAACGTACTTAAAAAATAGTAGCAACATCTGGAAGGTAAGGCTTATTCTGGGGACACTTTACATCAAAACAATAACACTTCTCATGCTCAGGTGCACATAGTGTCTAAAATCATGGTGATCATCATTGCTGAGAAAATGATACAAGTCAACTGTCAGAAAGAGACCTTCCATTGCCACACAATGGGGTAGCATGCCCCATCACTGCTAGTCTAGTTCCCTGGACCTATGTCACCTTGCTCTCCAGCCATAAATATGCACCTTCTTTATTTCCATTCCCTCACGATCCTGGAAGTACATATATCTAAAGTTGACTGTGATAGGTTAACAGAATTTTGGGGGGGATATGCAGAACCCTTGGGCCAAACAATTCTACCTAAATATATATATGGTACTTTTGAGTTTATGGATGTAAAAAATTTTGTGGATGGCATGTGTGCCTTTTTAAAATTGCATTTAGTTATTATGCATACATGAGCAGATGTGTGTATGCCACAGGATATGCAGTGGTCAGAAGACAATGTGTTTGGCTTTCTACTTTACCCTGGAGACCCTGGGGGCTGTCAAGCACCATTCCCCACTGAGCCATCTTGTGCACCTTTTACCATACTTCTTAAGAGAAAATTTCCCACTGAATAGAATTTGCTATCTATGCTAGACTGCTGACTAGAAAGGCTTGCAGCCAAGGTTCCAGAGAAAATCTGTGTGGTTAGGCAATGTGCAAAATTATGACGGTGAAGCAGAGAAGACCCCAGGTCTTAGAAATACCACGACCTTATTGTGTCTGTCAAGGAAAGCTACAGGCAACAGGGCTGTAAGGATAGGCCTGCCCAAGCCCATAGGAAATCATATCACGCCACCATGTGTCCCAGACACTACTCATGGAACTATAGGATTTGCTGTCCTCCCTGCTGGCTATTGGCTTTGGGAAACCTCGCAAAACCCCTGGTTGGAATGGGATTGTTTAATCTGTATCACTATTTAATGGGAACATGTGACTTGCTGTCGTGATTTTTACAGGGCCTTACAGTTAAGAAGACTTAGCCTTGAGTCTCATAAGAGACTTTGGACATGGAGGTTTGAATTGTGTTGGAAGTGTTAAGACTATGGAGGTATAAGACTAGATGCATTGTGTGTTGTGGGATGGCAGTCAATCTTTAGGAGCAAGGGGTCAAAAGGTTGTTTTCTGATCGTGAATGTCTTCTTGTGTTGTTTTCCATCTGGGAAGGTGTCTTAATTGGGGTTTCTATTGCTGTCAACTCTTATAAGGAAAACATTTAATTGGGGTGACTCACTTACAGTTTCAGAGGTTCAGTCCATTATCATCATGATGGGTGAAGAAGTAGCTGAGAGGCCTACATCTTGTAGGCCAACAGGAAGTGGTCTGTGTGTCACGCTGGGCCATATCTTGAGCAAAGCCTGTGCCCAGGGGCACATGTCCTCCATCAAGACCACATCTATTCCAGCAAGGCCACACCTCCTAATAGTGCCACTCCCTTTGGGCGTCATTTTCTTTCAAACCACAGGTCTTATTTTTTCTTCATTCCCACGGGTTAGCTTCGCTGGGTACAGTGGCTTTAGTCTGAAGTGATTTTTCTCTTATCCCTTCCTGGCCTGTAGTTTCTGCTGAGGAATCAGCTATGAATCTACCTGGAACATCCTAGATTGAAACTAGGACTTTCCTATTTTAAAATACATTTTAAAACCTTTTCTTTGACTTGTACTTCAGCATTTATGCTGTATTAGAGATCTTTTCTGGTCAAATTGGGGTTCTAATATACCTCATCTACATATATGTTTGCATTTTACCCAAGATTTGAATTTTTGTCACACTATTTCATTGAAATTGTTTGTATCCTTAACTTTTTCCTTCAACTTTTGAGTGTTCAAAAAAATACACTCTTTGTTCATTTAATGGTGTCCCTGGAGTCCTAAAGACATGTTCTTGCCCTGACTGAACTTTCAAAAGGCCTGTCTTCAAGTTCAAATATTCTTTTTAAAGTTAAAATAAATTGAATTAAAACATAATTACATCATTTACCCCTTCCCTTTCCTCCCTTTAACTCCTCCCAAACCCCTTTACTCCCTCCCAAATTCAGCCTCTTTTTATTGTTGTTATACAGATGCATAAATATATAAATACAACTTGCTGAGTTCACTTAGTGTCGGTTTTATGTTTATGCACTATTCATGCTGATGACAGGCATTTGGGTGTTGTGCACTGGGAACAGGAACTTTGTGGGCCTTCAGTGACAATTCATGCATTGTGTCTGGTCTTGCTCCTGATCGTCAGCCCTTCTCAAAGGGAAAGCATCCTGACCTCCTGATTCTACTGTTCTGTCACAATGCCTGTCCCTCTACAGTACAGGGCACAGTGAATGTCTGTGGAGTCCTGAAGATGGGAATACACAGAGGAGGCCTGCAATGCCAGTTTAAGTTCAGACATCTTTCCCAGCTGGCTTTAGTAACAGCACCAGGGGCATGGGTAGCAGTCAGTGGAATATGTGAGCCCCTTTTCCAAAGGAGATGATACATGCACATTCCAGGTTCCTGACATCAGTGAGCTGCAAGCATGAAGGTTAGGCAAACTTCCAGGAATCAAAATTGCTAGCACACACTGACTGTGTCGTGACCTCTCTGTCACCCTCATGGGGAGGCTCGTCCTACTCTAGCCGTGGATATGGGGTGACAGGTACCAAGACTCTTTTCCTTACTATGCTTTGGTCCTGGGTCTCAGGTTCTCACAGGAGTCTAATCTCTCTACTCTACAGGGTGATCCAATGATCACTCACCTCAGAACACAATTAAGCATCTTTAGTTCTTCTTTGTAGGCGAGCTGAGTGAAGAGCACCTCTCTCTAGCCATCAGCCAGGAGGATATCGTTGCAACCTTTGGAGCAGGTAAAAAGGAAAAAAGATCCTTAAAATGTTTTTAAAAGCACAGAAATTGATTAAAAACTCATCAAAATCAAACTCCAACCATAGAACACTAAAAGCAAATGATATTATTTCTAACACATATATCTAATGAATGACATGTGGCCATGCTATGTACATAGACCATTTGAGACTCAGCAAGACCACCACTGAGAGCAGAATTGACAAAACTGAAAAGACACCTCGAGGAGAAAAGTACATAAACAGCCAGAAATATCTAGAAGCTCTCCACATTAGTCATTAGGAGAAGCTAAAACCACAATGACATGCAACTTCATATTCCCCAGAATAGCTGAGTTAAAAAATCAGTAATACCAAACACCGGAAAAGAGGTCCAACTGGTGCCGTGTCTCAGGGTTTGAGTCAGAAATGTCCCCTGGAGGATTGTGTGTAAAGGCCTCGATGACAGCGGCTGGGATTTTAGGAACTGAGCACATTAGGAGGCTCTGCCCTCATCAGTAGATGAATCCATTGATGATTTACTGTCGTCTAGTGGTGGCAGTGGGAGGTGACAGTGGTTGAGAAAGGGGAGTCCTCAGTCTCCTCCTCTGTGTCTCTTTCTGCTGTCGGGGTGCTGTGAGGTAATGAGCTCTGCTCCCGTGTGCTCTTCCTCCATGATGTACTACTCCTTACCACAGGTCCAAAGACAATGGAGTCACTCTACTCAGAGTAGCTAGGGGATGGGAGAACCCAAATGTCCTTCAATTGATGGGTGGATAATGAAAACCCAGATGTAAAGAAAATGAAATGAAATTTACAAACAATATATCGCTGTTGCCCTTGGTTGTCTCCCACAGGATTCAGAATTGTTGAGCTGGAATGACCTGAAGGCCTCCTCCCTAGGGACTAGTTTTTAAATTTATATAGTGTTATGAAGGCTGCCAAGGCAGGGATGTTGATGAACCACAACAATGGCCAGCCATACCCCTAAAGGTGCAATAGTGGCACTTACATCTTGGCTGTAACAAACAGCCATCTAACTGGGTATTAGGCCTGATCACTAGGAGGAAAATCATGCCTGGTACTGGAAACCTAGACAATGCCCATGGCTAGAGACATCATGGATCTCAGGGGAGAAGCTACTACTGCCACTTTTCTAAACCAGGATCATTCCTAACTGCATTCCAAATACTTATCCTTAAACCCACAGGTAAGGGTATCTCCCACCCCTCCACTCATCAAAAAAGCCTCCTTCTGAGGCAGATGGAGACCTTACAGAATTCTACAACTGGTCAAGGCAGAGAACAACTGACAGTGGGGTGTCCAGTCCTAACCTACGACACAATCCTGCACCTGAGGTCAGGGAATGCCACAGATGATGGTGAAGAAAGATTTTAAGAGTAGAGGACCAGGAAGTATGCTGCAAAACTGTCTTATGTATAGGACATAGGGAGATACACCTATGAAATCACAATATGGTAGCTTAAACAAGTCCTGAACAGTGACAACACCAGCTGACACACTAGTGTGGATGGGGGAAGTCTCATAGAGCTCCATCCTTAGATGAAAAGCTGTAACAACTGTTGAGAGAGGGAGAATTGGTCTTCCCCAGGGATGTATTCCCTAAATGGCTGTCTAATACTAAGTGGTCAGTCCTAAAAAACATACACATGCAAGCAACACTAAATGATTCAGCAAACTGCACACACCCCCTACACTCTGTGTGTGTGTGTGTGTCTGTGTGTCTGTGTGCGTGAAACAGTAATAATTAAAAAGAGGCCATGAATTTGAGAAGGATCTAGGAGGAATGAAAGGGCAGGAGGGAAGAGACAGGGAAAATAATGTATTTTAATTAAAAAATAAAAGGACTGGCAAAAGATTTAGGTAGTCACCATATGAGATTATTAATAATCAGATGAAAAAGTCTTCCACATCATTCATTTTTAAGAAAATGCCAATTAAAGCTAGTATGCTGGAAGAGCCTGACCAACTCAGCAATGTCTGAGGCCTGAGCTACTGCTAGAGGCAATGTTGATAAGCATGGCCTGTACTGCTGCCTGAAGCCATGTTGATGTCTGTGGTCCATGCTGCCACTAGGGACCATGTCTGCCACCAGGGGTCTGTGGTCCTGCTGTAGCTAGGGGTTACACTGACGTCCACAGCCTGTGTTACCACCCAAGGCCATTCTGATGTCTGTGGTTTGTGCTGCCACCTGAGGCCATGTTGGGAAGGCCAGGTAGATGTCTGTGGTCCATGGTATTGCCAGATATTATGTAGAAAAATTCAGCCTAGACAGAAAACCATTGAAGAGAACTCTTAATTTTGATAAGCATGCTGAAACATAGCTCTCCACAATAATGGCTAGTAGTGGGGGTGGAGGTGAGGAAGGATTCAGTTTTAAGGGGCTGTCCACCTGGAGTTTGGCCATGTTCCAGTGACTACAGGGACAACACAAATTGGACTTTTAAAAAAATCTTTTCAGGAGGGTAAGTCCACTGGGACAAGGCAAGACCTAGGACTTCGAAGTAAGGGTGCTTGATGTTTTTCTGTTGGCTTAGTGACTCATGAATCTACTGATATTAATTATCATCTGGGCCCCATGACCCCACAGCCCTACAGGCAGAACCACATCATTCAGGTAGTGTCCTGGAGGACACATGGCTGCTGGGTCTCCAATATGTAGGTTTAAACTAAATCTCTATCATTCTATTTACCAACAAAAACTCAGAAATGAGATGTGAGGGTGCAAATCTGCTAATCAGAGAAGCTGAGAAATCAACTAGATGACCTTGCTTTTTGGCTGGAGACTCATCATGTTTCTTCACCCATCCCCAAACCAAAAGGAAGTGCCAAACTCAAGTCCCTGCCCTTTCCTTCCTGTGTGTCTTCTCTATCCAAATTGCTGGCTTCTCTATGGCCAATTCTAGTCACCTAGTTACTAGCTCCACCCCAAGTCAAGGTAAACTTTAACAGTCTTAAGAGTATCACAATGCAATCAAAATTCCCACAAAAGGTGATCGGGGTACATTATGTAAAATTCCCAAATAATAAAAATTTATGTTAATAAAAAAACTGTAATGCATGAGCAAAGGGGTTAACACTGGGCTGGTTTAACCCCCAGAAACAGCTGACCTGACAAGGGTTAGCTCTTGAATCCCAGACTGATGGCTGGGATTCCAGCATGGGACTGATCAAGAACCCCTGAGCGTGGGTGTCAGTGAGGAGACCTAGGTAATCTATTGGACCTTGGTAGTAGATCAGTATTTATCCCAGGTATACAAATGGACTTTGGGCACCCATCCAACAATGAGAGATGCACTCTCACCCTGGACTCCCAGGGGAGGGTCTAGGCCCTGCCCTGGATGAAATGATAGACTATGGACACGCCCATGGAGGGCCTCACCCTCCCTGGGGAAATGAGGGGATATTGGAGGCGTTGGTGGGAGGGCGTGGGAGGAGGGGAGGGAAAGGGAGAAGGACCTGGAATTGATATGTGAAGCAACCTTGTTTCTAATTTAAATTTAAATAAAAAATTAAAATAAAAAAACTGTAATGCTACATTATCACACTCAAGAGCATGGCTGTGTGGTGGTCTGAATAAGAATAGCCCCCAGGTCAGGCAGTAGTGGCATATGCCTTTAATCCCAACACTCAGGAGGTAGAAGCAGGTGGATCTCTGTGAGTTTCTGGACAGCAGGATGTTACAGAGAGAAACCCTGTCTCAAAAAACAAAACAAACAAAAAAGAATAACCCCCCAGAGGCTCATATATTTGAATGTGTGGTGTCCACGTGGTGGAACTTTTGGAGAGGGGTAGGACATGTGGTCATGTTGGACGAGGTGTGTCACCAGGAGAGAATTTTAATGTTTCAAAAGCCCAAGTCATCCCTAGTTAGCTCTCTTCTGCCTTGTGGTTTTGTCTCAACATGCAAGCTCTCCACTACTACTCTAGTGTCATGCCTGCCTGCCACTGTGCTCCCCATTACAATGCACATGGACTCACCCTCTGAAAGATAAACCCCATTACATGCTTTCTTCTATAAATTGCCTTGGGTATGGAGTCTCAGCACGGCCATAGAAAAGTAATGAAGACAGGCTATAAAAAGATGGCCAGCACTGGATGTTGCTGAGAAAGTGGAGAAATCAAATCCCTCACTCATTGTTGCTTGGAGTCTTGTACTGCATACATACTTGGCAAAATAGTTTATGAGGTTCTTAAAAAGTTAAACATAAAACTTGATTCTACAACTACACTCTTAGAAACTCACCCAACAGACATAAAAATGAAAGCTATACAAACACATATACACAACAACATTATGGTCCCAGAAACATCATTTGTAATAACCAAAACCAAAATAATTGAAACAATTCAAATGTCTATCAGTTCATAAATAGTTAAGAAGTTATCTCATTTATGAGAAGCAAATCTTTTAATAATACAAAGGAATGGCCCTACTACTGATAAATGCTACAACACAAATTAACCTCAAAAATGGATGCCAAGAAGCCAAACCCTGGGGCGATGTCTCCTCTACTAAAGTACTTGCTGCGTAAGCATGAGGGCCAGAGTCCAGGCCCAGCATCTATGTAAAATGCCAGGCCTGGTGATGAAGCATGTTTGCAGTTCACTAGACAGGCGAAGAGAGAGTGATCCCTAGGCCAATGAAAGAACATGTCTCAAAAAACAAGGTGGACAGTCCTGAGAAATACCCAAGGCTGTCTGTCCTCTGGCTCCATGAGCACCCACATCCGTACATACTACCCCATCAAAAGAAGGCAAGTCCTCAAAACCATGTTCTGAGATTCCATTTAGATAAAACTGCTGAGAATGTATGAGACAAAAGATCACTGGGTGTGTGGGGCTAGCAACTGACTGCACTGACATGGTGAAGTTTGGGGATAATAGGAGTTTCTAAAACTGGATTATTGTGACAACTGTTCAAATCTCTGAAAAACAGATTTAAGAACTTACAATGAATGGGTTTTAATAGCATGTAAATTCACATCAGTA